CAAGCCCCAATTAAACCCCAATTGGGCGAGGATGACATATGTTGAATCTATCTAATTTTTTTGGTCCCTCTTACACTGTTAATTTATTTTTGTGTATACGGATATACAGTATATAATGGAACTTTGCATGCATTTGTTGTAACTTCAAAACTTTGTTTCAGAATTTAAAGTTAGCTATCCAAGCAAGTGAAATGAATTTATTACAAATATTTTTTTTCTTTGTTCATTACCAATAATAGCTAGAACAAAATTTCATTTTCTCTCATTCGTACTGTAACACGTCTCCCTAAAATTTTTCTTCTTTTTTGTAAAAAGGAATTATGACCGAATCTGGATAATATTCGGACATAATATTTGCAGAGTCCTTTTGATCCTTATTTAATTGTTTAATATGACTTTATTTATATATAAATAACAAAATAGGAATTATTGTATATATTTGTTGATAGTAACATTAAACTAAATTCTACAATATAAAATTACATGAAATAAACATCGAGTGTACTCAACTTCGTGATTTGAGGTCAACATTTATTCTTTCTAAAGCTTTCTTGCAAATTTCTAAGCAATAGTTCTAATAATAAGTGATTCTACAAATCTAAGATATCCAATACTAGTTTATTACCGTGGCATCTCGTTCAAAAAAATTTTATGCATATGCAGGTAATTTTCGTCAGCCTATAATTACGATCACAGCTTAAATCCTTAAGATTGATTCTTTCATTACTAATAAGTTACATTAGTAAACTGACTTCAATAAAAAATTGATGCCAAAGAAATTTGTATAAAATATATGATGAAGAAAATGTTAAAAAATAAATAGACAGAAATGTATGCGCGTATTATGAATATTGTAATTCTTTGAGAAAAATCAATTCTTTACTCATTTCTATACAAATTATTATCCCCTTTAAACAGCATCTCCTTAAAATCCAGTGACTTCGATGTTTGATTGGAATTGAGCGAAAATGTATTTCCTTGAATCAAATCGTGTTGATTTTGTTGGAAATTTAAAAAAGAAGCTGCTGTTGTGGAATGTTGTTGGTAAGATAAAGTAGGAATTATTAGTGTTTCTGTTTGTTGGGAGATCAAAGGAACTTGTTGAGGGGGATCGTGTTGATAATTCGCCATTGAAATTTACAATAATACGAATCAAACAAAAAATGTTTAAAAATAAATACTTTTGGGTATGAAAAAATGTGGGTTGGTAATTTCTTAACTTGATGTCTTTTGTCGCAAACGCGTACTATTTATACAACTTTTCGTATTTAGTGCACTCCTTTTATTTTAAATACCTGATTATTTACTGTAATGATATTTATTAGGATATTAAAAATTAATAATTTTTATTTTAAACTTTTTTTAATAATAATATATACCACGCAATATATTTAATTGAAGTATGAGTATATTTCACCATTGATTTATTGCTCGTGAGCACAGAAAGCATTAGATTACACAACGAAGGATCCCTCTTTTCTGAATAAGCACTTTATATGTATTCTGTGATTGGAGACGTTGAATAAAGGAATTAAATCTGTCTTTAATACAATTGAAGTTCGTTAAATATATACTTTATATGACAAAGGAAAAATTTATGCCGTAGAAAGCTTTAATAAAGCGACAAATTGTACGTGCATTTACCGATAATAGTATTTAATTCGTTCCTCGTTGTCGATTGACTGAACGCATGAAGCCATTGGGATTATAATTCTTGAATTTTATAAATTCAGTATCTCCGACCGGCCTAACTACTACATAAAGATAATAATACATTATGTCATCGATTTTCTGCATCACGAGGAATCACATAATATGAAGAAGTCTTTGCGTGATCACGTAAAACAATATGTAGTATACTACGTATATTGTTCTTCATATGCTGTAAATTAAATATCAAATACATGTTATTTTATTTCTTAATTAAATTGTCAAATATTTGAATATGAATAAAAATTTATAAAATAATTCTTAACATCTATTGAAAAATTGCAAAAAATATATTAAATTTGTATGAAAGTTTATATGTTTATGTTGTAATGATAAATTATAAAGGATAAATATTTTTTCAAATAATAATAATATAAAAAAACAAGCAACACTTCTTATTTCAATAATTTTATATGCTGTATATAAGTAATTGTTTGAAATAAATATTTGATGTGTAAAAGCAATCATATGATTATAATATAAACCATGAATTTATTTATAATTTATAAGTTGTTTTTATATTAAAATTCATAAATAATTATATATTTATAGCTATATATATATTGTTATTTTCAAAAAAAAAATTAATGTTATAGTGACTGTTTTAAAAATTTTTTATGAAAATATATTATTATATTATTATCATTTTTGTAATTAAATATTTTTATAATTTTTTTAATAATAAAACAAATAAAATAGTATGTATATATTTATGTTTATATTTATGCCTTCATTATTATATTAATTTACGATCATCAATTTTCACAATAAGTAATTTTTAAATCAATAAAATTAAAATTCGGTTTATGTTAGATTCACGTTTTAAATAATCCATTTAAAATTTTTACCAATAAATATATATATTAGTAAAAAATATAATATAAAAATTTTTATACGAATCCAGTATTTCACTGTGATTTTATAAAACGACAATAAAATTAGAATTAATTTTAATAATGGAAAAACTTGTCACATCTGTCAAAAGAATAGCGAAAATAATAGAGCACTTATATCATTAAAAAATTTTTTTGTTTAAGAAATAAATGAATTATTATGAAATCTAAGTATTTTTAAAAACAGTCGATTATAAATAAATAAAAAATAAATAAATTATCTATATTTTTTATAATATAGTATATAATATACAGTATATATAATTTATTGTTATGTGATATTTTTGTAAGTAATCTAAAAATATATCTAAATTTTATGTGTAAACAATAAGCCACTAAGTTCACGTGTGTGTGGCTGTGACTCAGCCATCAAAGCCACAATTGTTATATATTCAAAGCGCATTTTTCGAAAATACTGTAACTAAATCAGCGGTTTGATTTAAAATCACAAGTGTCGTATACTAAAAACCTCTATTTTTATATTGTAACTTTGAAATTAAGCGCTAAAATAAAACGTAATATGTTAAATATTAAACTCATGATGTGTTGGTTATTAACACGATCATGCTGTAATATTGCATACCATAATTTGGATCCTTTTTAATTAAACGAAGAGCCATCAAGAATTTCATAAACAAAATACCACGGTTCCTTCGTTTCTGGGAACGTTTCGTATAGAATAGGTTGACCTTTGATCAATTTTTCGGGATTTTGAAGTAGTGTTTGATCCATGTTTTTTTGAAAATTTGGTGACTACTGGAGAAAAAATATTTGTGCTTTTATACATAATTTGAAACTAGAAATTAATTGATTTGGAAAAAAAAAATCCATTTGAAAAATAAGAGCTATTGGATACAAAGGCCAAATGTTTTGAATTTCTTACTACACTTGTTTATTTGTATAACTCTCATCTGTTGCACTTTTTCGTTAAAGAAGAAGTTTTCATTAATAAAGAAATGAAAATTCCGCCAGAAATTTGTGATTTGTCGCTCTACGTGTTATATTATCACCCTGTTTAATAAAGAAATGGAGAAGCTGAAATTTAATTGTCAAAAATTACATAATGATTATAGAGTAATCAATCAACTGAACCTCGTTTTTTAAACTTATGCGTTCTTAATTTATGAAACCTTTTTTAACTAGTCGCAGTAAAATAATATTTAGATGACTTAATGTCCAGAAGCAATCAGTTAATAGTCATGGACGTGTAGTTGCATTGCACTTTGTAATTTGTCACTTTCAGCACTTGATGATTTTTCGAAACTTTTCTACCTTAAATAGAAAGTCGTGCTTATCAGAACCAAATAAAGAAGGTAACGCAGGTTTAGCCTTTTATACAGTATGTCAGCGAAAAATATACCTGCTATGTAAAAACTGTCCCAAACTTTTTGTGAGATTATTACGTAATTAAATAATTCTTTAATATAAGGTCTAGGACTTTTATTCATAGTATTCCCTTTTAGTATTATTACAATTTTATGGTTACGGAATTCAGTAAAGTATCAGGTTTGCTAATTTAAAATACCAACATCGTCTTTATAAACATTTGATCGAATTGTGTGAAACTTATTAGCTTATTCCATGCTCGATATTGTAAAAAAAGGTTTTTTTTTGTCGCAAAATTGCTTGAGTTACAATCTAGTGTTGTATCCATACAAAAATATTTCTCTAGATTTTCATACACACTTTAAGCTTTACAATTATCGTTCATAGACATAGACTGAAAGTATTTCAAATATAGTATCACAAGTGAACAACGTGTTTCAAATATTGTATCACAGGTTCTGCAGCGTATATTTTAATAAACGCAAGATGCACTTGGTAAAGTTTAAAAAGTCGATTGTTACCATTACTCAATGGTAAAGACAAACTCACCAATAGCCCGGTAACAATATATATAGATAATAAAAAAAATTATAACCTTTAAAAAATTTTTCGTGATCGATTATTTATAAACAAATATTGAAAAATGTAATAAGCTCAAAACCTTATCCCACGCCATGTATGTATTATACAAATATTAATTTTAAATGCAACCTAATGACAATGTCATCACTATCAAATAAGTTCTACATGGTATATTTTTAGTAATTTAAGATATTATGCTTTTAAGTAAATTTTGAGGAGTAACGATTATTATCTAAGCATTTGAAAAAAGTTCCGATATTGGTTACATCATATGACACGAATACTATATACGGATTTTAATAGATTATTTGTAATTTATTTATCATGACGAGACTTAAATCTAAGGCAGGTTTAAAGTACTACTGTACAAATAAAAAAATTTGAATTTCTATCAATAATATTAATTAATGCTTTTGATAGTATTGAAAGCATTAAGCTATTTAAAAACTTATAATAATTCTCAAAATATCACTTATAATTATAGTTTTAATAATAAAGTATATTATGAATTGTTGTAATCATAAAGATTGATTAACTGATACTAACAAGTCTTGATAAATTTCTTTTTTTTTTTTAAGAAGTAAATTATACAACGATACATATCTTTTATTGATACTAAAATCTAAGCTATATATCAAGTGTCTTCTAAGTACAGAGTCATTTTTGTACAATTCATACACCATTTATGTCTTCTATGTAACTAGAATTAACACTGTCTATTGACTATTACTAGTAATAGCTAACTTAATTTTACCTCTAACCTAACTATACAAACTTACACTACATAAGTGAGCCCACATGCCAGGTAGGACTATTTTTCAAGGGGTAGGAAGTCCTACTATCAGTTTAAACCCACCTAAACCTGTTAGTCCATCTAAGTCATAGGGAGCATGTATCTTTCAGGATTGATTAGAACAATCGAATAACCCATTTAATACTTTTCACTTGAGACCTTAGAGAAGATACTATACTCATTGTCACTACTTGCAGCTTCTGTTTATACGACAGATCATCCAATCTTCTTTTAAGCAAATGTCAGATTGGGATAGCCTCAAACTAGAATGTTCTTTGTGCTATGAAGTCTGCCGTACCAGGAGGTTTGTGGGCTTTTTATGGAAGTTAGACCAAAAGCTTTTCCTTATGCAACCTTTTCTGCTTCAACCTGTTTTTCAGCCCATAATCGTCAGAAAGATCAGAGATCCTATCTTCATTCAGCCTAACTGATTTGGTCAGGATCCAGATGTTTAAATACTCCATATATAGAAAACCTGGTAAACCTGCATACAGATAAAATATTTGCATTTGCCCCCTATGGGTATTAAACTAAGGACATGCATTTGAAGACCTAGGAGCACTATCCACTGTGCTATAGACCCATAGAACAGTCTTAATGAATTTTTTGAAGAAGAATTAATTGATTCTATTAATAAAAATTATTAATTAAAAATATTTTCTTCAACAATATTAAAAAGTAATGATATTATTTATTTCTTATTGAATTTTTATAGAAAACTATTTTTTTCTAATGTTGTTGTAAATAAAAAAATTAAGATGAAGAAATTAATTGATATGGTTTGATAAGTAATTAAATTTAAATTATATTAATATCAAATGATAAAA